TGGGCTGAGAGGGAGGCGTGCACGGCTATATCACAGTCCACACTGGGGGCGGGCAGCCTAGTGCTACGGGGGGAGGGGCAACACCTGAACACGAATCATCTTTACCTATGTATCCTCCGCCTCCTCCACCTGAGGAGCACCCCCCGCCACCCCCTCCGAAACCCCCTCTGGTCTCCCACCCCCACTTCTTCATGGCCTGGGGGCAGGAATGTCCTCCGGTGGCACCCTCCATCAGAGACTTTCCAGACCAGAGCAAGGAAGTGTTATCATTCCAGCCACCTCCACCGCCTGCAGGAAGAGACCGAGACAACCCTGAGAGAGGAAGCTGGTTAGGTTAGGTCAGCCGGGGATCTGGCCGAGGCGGCAGGGCGAGGTGCATTGTGAGGGGTGCTTGCTCCAGTTCCAAAGCCCAGCGGCTTCGTACTCAGGGGGCCTGGGGGCTACAGAGTCCACAGCTGGAAAGCCAGGAGCGTGCTCTTTGTCCTAGGTGGACCTGCTTTGGCCACAGCCATGCACATCCAGATGGGAGCGTGTCTGGTATCACTGCTTCCCGTCAGGCCTCTGGCTCAAAAGCCCTGAGTGTTCTCGGCCAGGTCTAGAATGACTTGAATCAAGGCCCCCAGGGAAGTCGTGGGGCCCTTTTGTCACCTTCAGAAGTTACAGGGGTGCCTGAGTTTCAAGTGGCTGGCCTCCCTTCTGCCAACCAGAGGGTGGGGGCGTGGGCCTGTCATAGCTGTTGATGTCAGGTGGCAGAGGGAAGGCCCCTTGCTCCATTAGGGACCTGAAGTAGGTTCTGGCAGCCAGCCACGCAGAGCCATGTGCACAGTAAATACATTAGGACGAGTCGGACCTGACACCATGTCTGCCTCCCTCCCCTGCCCCCACCCTTCTCTCGTGTATCCCCGAAAATAAGACCTAGCGGGAGAAGAAGCCCTAACATGATTCCTCCAGGATATGGAGGGCACGCACCACTCACATGAGGGTTTTATGACCTGTTTCAGGGAGAAGGGTGCCTTTTCCACAAACTCCTTCAACTTAAAATATTCAGTATGCCAAGGTGCCATATTTTGGCACCTAACATCATGCTACGGCTGATTTTCCGGCTAGGCCTTATTTTTGGGGAAACGGGGTTCCCATGCATCCTGCACGATCCTCTGCTGAGGTGGTTTCTGACCTCCCACTCCACTTTGCAGGCTTTGAGAAGATTTGTGGAAAAAAAATAATGGACATAAAAATAAATATAAATCAACAACGTTTTAAAAAATGGATTGAGCATGAAACAGTTTGGCCATGTTGAGAAAAACAACCCACTAACTTTCTATGAGCTTGCAGACTCTTTTGTAAATGGGGATCATAGTATCTTTGTGGAAAACCCCACAGGGTTGTTTTGAAAAGCACATGTTCAGTCGATGTGGAAGTGCTTTGTAATTTATGAAATCTATACTGGTGTAAGGGGTGCTATAAATACTGCTGGGGGGCAGTTCCTTACTGTGGATCCAACAACTGTTTCTACTCTTCTGTCCCCAGCCATCTCTTGACTACAAAGTTTGAGTATTTGATTTAATTAATCGCAAATCTTAAATGCCTTCCAAAATCCTCCCTCCGTCTAATTGTGGAGAAAAGAAAACACAAAGATGAACTGGATTTTCTCTTTAGAGATGGCTGATTTCAGAGGAATCAGGGAATCAACATCCCTTTCAATGTCTGTCCCCTATTTGTGTGGCTGGCTGTCATTAACGAGCACAGAAAGTTCAGCCATGGAGATTCCAGAAAGAGCTTTTTCAGCAAGTGGCTGTGTGAGCTGGCAGCCTACGGTCCGGAGGTACGAATCACAGGGGCCTGGAGGGCCTGACTGGGCCCAGGTTCTCCCATCGGCTCACAGCCAATTGCATTTGGTAAAACCCAGGGTGGGTTGGGCTGGCTGTCCGAATGCTGCTGCCTGTTTCATTTTCTCAGTGACCTTCTGCAAATCCCAACCTGTCAGCCAGGTGGTCTGTGGTGCCCAAAGATGCTGCCTGCCCTTCCTCCTCGATGCTGGGACCAACGTAAGAGCTCACAGCCTCTCAAGTCCCAGTGACCAAGAGGCCCACAAGTGTGTGATGGCACCTGGCTGAGCTGGAGCTCTCACAGTCCCGGGGGCGGGGTGGCGGAGGGGTGGGGGGAGAGGGGCTTGCAGCGCTTTACCTGCGGCTCCAGAATTGCCATTGAGCCCCAGAACTGAGGAGTTATTCTCCAGTCTCTCGGGGTGGAACGTGTCCGTCTTAGCCCCGTAGGCCCTGCCGCCACCGCCGGCCGCAACGATCAGGGGCACTGGCACGCCGCCCTTCATCTGGCGGGAGAGACATTCAGAGGTTGAGACATCGAGCTGGGCTTCCACTCTGGACACGCTTGAGCCCTGGTTTAAGTGTTTAAATGTGTCCGCGTGCTGGGCAGTGGGTGACGTCTCGGGGGTCTGAGGTGGTCTGAGGGCTCTGAGCTCATGTTACAACAGCCCATCAGCTCACACCCCAGCCCACTCCTCCAGCTCCTACAACAGTCAGGGTTCCATCTGAGAAGCAAAACCACTAGTGCGGCTCGATCTTAGAGGCTGCGTACGTAGCCTCAGGGGCCTGGGTGCTGGTGGTAGCACAGGTCTCTCTGCTTTCTCCTTCCTCTCCATTCTCGGGGGTCTCTGGCTCTGACCCACATGACCTCAAGATTAGCATCACCGTCCCTGTGGGAGGACCTCGCAGGAAGCCTTTGCCTTTTGGCCTGACTGTGATGGTGTCAGAAAAGTTCATCTTAGGACAGAGGAGGGCACAGTGGGACCCTCTGGAGCTCTGAAGCAGGGGTGGCAAAAGCCTGCGTGCTGCAATTGGGCTGGGACATCAGCAAGAGAAAAGCCTGCCCTTTCTTGGACAGACAGGGAGCCCTCCATCCCTCTGGGCCTCAGTTTCCGCATCTTTAAAGGGATCTGAGAGGCGTTTTGTTCCCATAGCTGCTGTGAGGCTCCAGCCCCATGACCCACAGAAGTCACTGCCCCTGGGGAGCGGGCACAGCCCAACTCACCTTAAATACGTAGGTGGCTCCGCCCCCTCCTCCGCCCCCTCCTGCCCACTCATGCACACTTCTGTTCACGCGGATTTCTTCTTCTATCACGTTGTTCTCTCCAATGCAGACTTTCTGGATAAGTCGGTTTGTCTGTGGAAACAAAAAGCACCCCAGGTTTGTGCTCAGGGTTCTCTGCTTCCCAGCAGATGGATCTTCTATGCTTAAGGTAGGATCTATCTCTCAAATAGCTTACAGTTGAATTGAAGAGACAAAAAATGCAGTATTAGAGAAGGACCACAGGATACCTTAGCAAATGCATGAGAAGCTGGGGGAGGGACAGTGAGTCTTTGTTGCTGACTGATGATCAGGGAGGACTGCCTGCAGGAAGTGGCATTTCGTTGAGCCTTGAAGGATAGGGACTTTTAAAAAAAAATTAAAGCATAGTTGACATACAATATTATATTAGTTTCAGTTGTACAACATAGTGGTTTGACGTTTACATACCTTAGGAAGTGATCACCATATTAAGTCTAGTACCCATCTGACACTGTACAAAGTTATTATATTATTGACTATATTCCCTATGCTGTACATTACACCTGATAGAGAGATTTTTAAACACAGAGAATGAGGGAAAGTTAGGGTATTCTAGTGGGAGAGAGTAGTGTGAACCCAGAGGGTGAGTGAGGTGTTTGGGGAAAAAGCCAAGGACTCTCCTTGGCTCAGAAAAGTCCATTTTAGGACAGAGAGATGGTCCAGGAGGACCTGTTAGGATCCCCTGGACTCTGAAGAGGGGATGACAAAGGCCCTAAGAGGTGAGATAGAGTTGGAGGACGTGTAAGTGGGGGTGGGTAGAAGGAATTAAACTGGACAGTCAGATCATGGCAGGGGCCTTGGATACAATCTGAGAAGCTGGACTTCATTCTCTAGGCAGTGGGGCGCCACTGACATTTTCTGAGAAGTTGTGGTTCTGAGGCCTCATGGAAAAGGAAAAACAACCAGTGAGAGGCCAGACTTGGATTTTATTCCCGGCTCATCTTTGGGATAATAATTTCTCCATTTTGGACAACTCATTCCTTCCAGCTAATGTCCCATGTGTTGCCTCCAGAAATTCCCTGACACAGCTCCAAATAGAGCTCTTTATGTCCGCCATGGAGACCAGGGTGTGAACCCTGGAATCAGCCAGACGCCCCTGAACAACTGTGGAGGAGGCACTCAATCTCTTTGACCCACACGCGTGGCATGGGAACAAAAACACTACAGGTTGTGGATGGAACAAGACGGGGTCTAGGATAGTGCTTCACACGTGTTAAGGCCTGAAGAAAGGGCTGCTGTTTTATTTGGATTCGCTTCTGGGCCCACACGTGGTCCTGGTGTGGGCCCAGGCATCTGGGAGTCCCTGGGGATGTCCCTGGCTAGGGGGAATTCCTGTGACACAGATCCTGGAATCTCTGAATAAAGAGAGCACAGTGCTTCAGGAATAGCCATCCTGCTTATCAGTCACAGCAGCTAAGAGGAACTCTCCAAACATCGACCTGACCTCGGCGGAAAATGACTTTTCTTTCACTTAATAGAAAAAAAGGCCAATAAAACATCAAATTTCCATTGAATGCTGCTGTGCAGCCAGCCAGTGGACACGGCAATTCATCTTTAGCCACTCCTTATGCTAAAGCGCTCAGGGGTGCTGGCAATGAGTCCTAGAGAAATTTTCAGGCAAATAGCCGAGATGCAATTTGTTTCATGGCATTTTGGATTTAATGATGGAAATAATTTGATATTTTTTAGAGTGGATTTAGTGTGGGTGGAAGGCTGTGAATTGCTACTGTAGAGCGCTGACATTTCTCCTGTGTATGTGCAGTCCCATCCAGGGGGTGGGTGGGGAGACGGCTGGAAGGAAACCCTGCTAACTGCTGCCTGGGGAGGGCACGGTATGCCAGAGGTGCTGGGCTGAGCTCCGGGGCAGGAGACGGAAATGTGGGCTGTCAGCTGGGCAGAGCAGAGCACAGAATACAGGGCCCAGGCTGGCTTCCGGACAGGCCCTGCCAGAGGTTGGCTGAGCCACCTCACTTCCCCCAACCTGCCTCCTCCTCTGTGGATGGGGGTTTGCCCAGTCTGAATCAGTGATGTTCCGATGGTCCGTCCCCTTAGACCCTGCTCCCTTTCTTCCTCTCCTCTGTCTGGCAGCAGTGTGGCCTCCACCCCTCGGGGATGCCCTCTTCCTGTGAATAGAAGCTGCAGGTGGCTGGAGATTGCAAGAGTGGGAAGGATGGAGCAGTCAGGCTGGGTGGTGGCTCACTCCTCCTGCCCTTCCTTGCTAGGGTGTGTCTTTTAAATCAGCCCGGGGGGTGGGGGGAGGGCGGGGGTAGGAAATGGTCAATCCTGCAGCTTGCTCATCCAGTCTGCATCTTGCTGGACCCAGCAGCAGCGTTTGGTGTTGTCAATCACCCCTTCATAATACAATTTCTTCACCTGACCTTCAGGACTGCACACGCTCCTGAATTTCCTCCTACTTCCCTGGCGTCTCCGCCTCAGCCTCCTTCGCTGCTTGTTGGGGGTCTTCAGGGGTCAGTCCTTGGTCTTTTCAATCTGTACTGCTCCCTAGGCAGTCTCATCCTGTCTCAACTTTATGCTGATTTCTCCCAAATTTGTATCTCCACTCTAGGTCTCTCCCCTGAATTCCAGTGGCTTATTGCCTGTTGTTTTCTGGAAGTCCTTGCTTGGCTGCCTACCAGACAGAACTCTACAACTCAGCGTGTCCGACGCTGAGCTCCCGGTCTTGCCCCAAACCTG